CTATCGAATCCATACGACGTAGGGAACTCTGTGCCACTACTTTCCAAAGAGGAACGTTACTCGTTAATCCGATCCGTACGCTTTGCATAGCAGTCTGTCAAAATGATTTTTGAGAAATACTGAAAGTTCCCAAGAGATCTTCGCACTAGAAGTATTCTAAAATGTGAAGAATACAACCCGGGGGGTACAAAATGACACAAGGGCGTACGGATAGGGTTAAGATAATCAGACTGTGGCCAAGAAATAATAAGCATCTCTCTCTCTCTCTCTCTCTCTCTCTCTCTCTCTCTCTCTCTCTCTCTCTCTCTCTCTCTCTCTCTCCCCCTCTCTCTCCCTCTCTCTCTCTCTGTGTATGTGTGTGTGTGTGTGTGTGTGTGTGTGTGTGTGTGTGTGTGTGTGTGTGTGTGTGTGTGTGTGTGTGTGTGTGTGTACGTTTACAAAAACATCTCATTAATCCTTACTTTTGGTTGTGTCTGTTACAACACCCACACAGCTGTGCCAACTCTCGCCTGTACTGCGCATTGATTTTAAAGTACACAAAGATATTGACAGATGAGTTAATATTCTGCAAAAAGAATGAAATCGACACAAACACACGAAAGAGCTCATGATAACGTCCCCCACGATTTAGTTCAGGCATCGTGAGCGCTGCTGTGAACAATGAGGATTCAGGTAAAAAAACAAACGAGAAAAATGACGGAGATGGCAGTCACTGTGGAGGCAACTCGCAAGTCGCGCCTGGTAAATGTTTCGGTTGTCCCGGTTTGAACAACAGACAGGCGCCATTTCGACTGGAGTCTGAGTTTGACTACAATTATTACGGTCAAGATCGCAATGCCGAAGAATATTATGTAATGACTCAATATGTTATTGACGACAAGGAACGGCAATTGTATATTTTCCCGATTTTCTATCAGTTTTGTTCCGAGCAAGGTTGTATTTCTTTCTTCAGAGAACTTCCAGACCATTCGAGTTGTGTACATCACAATGCATTGACTGGCAACTACCCCCAAAAAAGCAACAAAATGATAACTTTGATTCTCTGCATGGTGATAAGTGTTTTCACTTTCATCGGCAACAAAATACACAGACAACGTTCAGCACAGATAATGAAGGTCAAATTTCTGGTGATGTTTGTAAAGACTAAATGTACCCAGGTCCCTGTGATGAACTCAATTTCCTCAGGAATAAAAGGTAAGTTTTTAGACTTGACCATCAGGGGGTGGAGACAGATCGAGGTCCACAGTGTTCCCACTAGCCCGATACAGTCCGAAATGGCCAGCGCGAAAAGGCTAATGTTTACTGTAATCCTTTTATTCATTCTCGAAAAAACGATGATATTGATGAGATTGGCCACGATTCCAAGCAGAGACAAAGGACCTTGCAAGTAAACACGGATTATGCGTCGTGTGAGCTGCGATGTTGATACGGGGAACTCCTCCTGCATTGTCCGACTTTGGGCAATCTCGTAAGCACGACTAGAAGTTTCGTCTTGCGTCTTATGTGTTCTTGTATGTAACGTCTGTGGCAGCGTACTAAGAGTCAGACCCCAGCTTGCCAGCAATTGCTAGACTCAGGTCCCAGTTCTTAGTTTATAAAGATGTTCGATGCTTGCTCGTGTCCACTATGCTATAAAAAATACAATAACAACCACCTTGGTCCTTCGTTCTATGGTTATAGACCTACTCGCTTAACCCTAGATATACACACGGCTATTTGGCATTTGAACACAGGCAATTTTGTTATCCAATTTATCTTTGGCCGCCATAAACTTTCTTATAATTCCCCTCCTGTGTAACCTATCTACAGAAAATAAATACAATAAATTCCCCTATAACTCCCTTCCAGCATAACTTATCTACAGAAAATAAATAGGCCTACCATAACCTTACCTATAACCCAACTCTTTTTAACGTATTTACGAAAAAATGAACACCAAACTGAGTAGAAATGAATGAGCCGAACGATTGTGGCTTATTCACTTTCGTATGTCCGCGTTATAAAAATCCTAGCTCATTTAATTAATAATTTACTTATGCCCACGAAGCTTTGCCTAGCACTTCTGTAGACCAGCTACCTAGCAATTTTTTTAAAATCTTGATCCAGTAGATCTAATTTTTAAAAGTTTTTTTTTCTTCTTTTGGCTCTATATTGAAACCGCTCTTTGGGTGTACACACAGTTCAAATGATCATGAAAATTAATGACTTAAGCCCCGGTTACACGCAACGATAAATTTGGTCAGATTCATCGCATGCAGAAACTGTCCGTTTTATCGAACTGTGCAGTCTGTACATGTTCCAATCTATCGTCTTGTTTTCGTTCGATCGGAGAGATTCCTCGTCATAAACCCACCGTGTCTCTTTGCGACGACAGCGATGTGCTTGCACTATATGTGCTTCTTCGTAACAAAAGAAAGAAAAAGAGACTAATTTGGACAAAAGACTGGCTTCTAAAGCGAAATGTGAGGCAGCGTGGTGGAATCAAGCGCTCGTCAAAATAATCAAAGTGAAGAAAATTTTTTTGAAAAACGTTGATTAAAGGCACAAAAAATGTAAATTTTCAGTTACCACGGACTCTTAAGCTAAGGAAACAACTAATCTTTGGCAGCCATTTTCTCACTAATTTTACCTCTGAAAGCAGGTGACCTCAACCTCCTTCTTTCGCAAATATCTCGACTTGTATTCAAGATAAATGGAATTTTTTAAATTCAAATAAAGACAAGTGAACAAGCTTTAAGATGATACCAATAACTCTACATGCCCAAAAATTGACGAGAGCCTGATTCCACCACGCTGCCTCACAAATATTTTCACCCACACAAACCAGAGGATTTCAACAATTTCTTGAGGATGGATGAAGACACATCTTCATCTTCAGGACCTTGTGAGTCCTCTCATTGCAAAACAGTCTACAGTGATGAGTCAGATGAGAGAGGCAATCAGCGTGCACAAAAGGCTCAAGCAACTCTACGTTATCTGGCCTCGGGGATAGCCTCTATCAGGACCTCAGGTTTTCTGCATGCATCTCTCATTCTTGTCTTTCTAAAATCATACCAGAAACATGCTTACTCACTTGACAGAGGAAGGGTACAAGATATACATCTAGAGATGGGGGAAAGAGATTTGCCTATTTGTACGTAAAACGGGGTGCTCACTACGGCTGAATCGGGCCGATCGCCCGACTCGATCACCTGAAACTGAAAACAAACACGTTTGTTTTTGAGGTGATCGTATCGGGCGATAGGCCCGATCCCGTCCGTAGTGGGCACCCCGTATAAACAGTTGATAATAGCCTAGCCTAGAGCCTATAAATTTCAGTTCCGATAAGTGGTACACAAATCAACATACCTCCAAGCCTAATGACTCTATGGGACATGATGATGGCCTATAGATAATAATGTAAGTCTTCTGCTTGTGTTTGTAAGATAGTACGTAGATGAACGTCTGTCCTCTATAATGCCAGTTGTCAGATCAAAACTTAAAGAGAAGGAATTTCAGCTCCTAATAACGTTCGCAGAGACCACAGTACGGGGGTAATTCAGATTTGCTTTCGATAAACGTGACTTATGGCATGCCCACGTTCGAAAGTCAGAAACATGTCAATGATTACAATGGTTGGGTTCATTCTAGAGCCAAGGAATTACAATTGTGTCCACTTAAACAGAAGACGTTTAATTCGAAAATATCGGTAAACGGAGAAAAAAATAAAATCCCCGTGCTTCATTTTCTTATCTGTGCAAGCTCCCTTAATATTCTTAACGGAAAACCCGGCTAAGCCGAAGGAAATCCGACAGTTCCGTAGATTTAGGTTCAAGAAGACTCCACTGTAGATCGTGACATCCTGTTTCAGTTGTCTGAAACAACCTGGCGTTTTGTAATAATAATAGGCCTCAGGCCTAGGTGTAGAGTTTATCGGCAACCAGATCGTGATACCGGCGCCAGTAGTGGGGCGGTGGGCTTCGCTGTCACACGCCGGAAACCGGAGTTCGATTCCCGAGTGGAGATCCGAGGGATTTGTATGGATTTTCTCGATCACCTACATTCAACATGATAACTTTTGAGAGGGGGCGGGGGTTAATCTTCAGTCTCAAAGATCCCCCACCCTCTGTATTCTCGATCTGGGCTCAATTTTCTGTATAGCAGTTCATCATATTACGAATTTCGGATGCTGAAATTAAGGACCTATTAAACGAGAGACAAACACCGTAGCCTACCTCTAGACCACGAGAGCCCCTGATCAGGCGTATGACTGAAAATATTAAGGGGATTCGACTCAAAATTATGGATTTTGAGTTTTAGGTATTTTTAGCTTCTTCAGCCTCTCTTATACTATCATTAGAACCCCCCCCCCCCTAAAAAAACCACCTATTTGTTCCCATACCAGGCATGTTTGTCAATACCATTTCCTCACAAAGTCAATCTTTTATTTTCCTTTATCGACCGTTTTCTCAAAACGCGGGTTTTCTATACTTTTTGAATAACTTCACCATTTTTCTTCCAATTTTTATATAATTTTCTCAGAATGAAAAGAAAATGTAGATCTAAAACTAAAACTTTTTTCGTTGAATTTTTTAAATGTGGAATAAATTTTTGTTGGTGGTGTCTGGAGTGTGGATTTTCACAGATTTTTCGCAAACTTGAATAATACCTCAGGAAAAAATTCATTAAAAATTTTCTAATTCGTTTAAGAAAACTTTAACTGAAAAATTTGTAGATTTAATGTACGCTAACTTGCCCTGCATCCATGGAAACGAAACTTATGTCTCAAATTTGATAGCTGATTTTTTCAGACCCTTTACTATGTTTGTTATATTTGTGAAATTTGGTAAAATGTGATCCACTAATAAGCGAGCGCAGCCTTAAGCTGTAGCGAGCGCTGTAAAACCTCTTCTAAAACTAACTGAACTGGCATTGTCTTCTTCTGTACTCAGTGTACTGCTATCTACGTTAACTACATTGTTTGTAAGAGTAACTTGATGTTGATATTATAGGTCTATAGCAGCAATAGCAGTACAATACCAAGTGTATTGTTTTCTATGGTGGTCGTGTGTGTGTTTCCGAGTTTCAGTGTCAAGGAAAAGGCAAAAGGTTAGCCGGTTACGGTTAGAAGAGCTTGGACGGACACGAACGGATCAGGGTCTAGTGGACTCACCAGATAGGGCAGGGGCTCTGAAGCTTCAGTTTTATCTTGACAAAGAGTGAAACATGGTGTTTCTTACGAGACATCTTTTATACCGACGCTTTTATCAGCCTCACCATGATCGCTCTTGGAAAAAAGAAATGCAGAACAGACTCACATGGGTAAGGCTCAGTTTTAATTATAATAGAGTCTAGATCTAGAATCTAGATTTCTAGATCTAGATCTTAACCTGGAGTAGATCTAGATCTCAGCCATGGCCCTTCTGAGCTCTTCTTAGTCTTCTTGTTCCCCTCAATATTATTACGAAGTCGGAAGTGTATACAGACCCGGTAACCGGGAACAAAGTCACGAAGTATACAGACCCGGTAGGGGAACTCTTTTGTGATTTCGGAAAGTTTCTGCACCCATACCCGGTAGAGAGAGAGAGTAGGCCCTATGTGTGTGTGTGTGTCTGAGGAGAGAGAAAGAGAGAGGGAGAGGACGGGGTAAAGAACAGGGGGAAATGCTAGCAAATATATCACGTGCCCCTGTTGACAGGAGGGAAAGAGAGAAAGATAGAGTGAGAAAATAGGTGGGGGGGGGGGGGAAGAGAGAGATAAACCAAGAGAAGGAGAAGGCGAGTGATACACACAGAGAAGAGAGGGAGAGAGAGAGAGGGGGGGTCAGGCAGAAAAAGAGGGAAGAGAGGCAGAGAAATAGAGAGGGTGACTGCTCGATTGAAATTACGACATTGCTACTCTTTTCTTCAAATTGTCTCGTGATTCCTCCAACTCTAAAACAGAGGAAAAACAATCGTTCATTGAAAAGACATCCACAATCTTCATTTGGATCTAGATCTAGATCTAGGCCCCGAAACTAGATATGATGTATGTCTGTCTAGATCTAGACCTAAGCCGTTAGATCTAGAAGAACCTAAGTCTACCTAGAGCCAGGAGGGCGCTGAAACTTTCCGAAATCATCAAGTCAAGAGATTTCCCCTACCGGGTCTGTATACTTTGTGACTTTGTTCCCATTTACCGGGTCTGTATACATTCCCATATTATTATATAAATCAAAATCGATTTGATCTAGACCTGATATTCAACTTCAAATTCGTTGTGGTAAAGTTTATTAGATCTAGATCTACAGAGTCTCAAGATTCTTACATTCTTAACTAATTACTATAGTAAGGCCTAGATCTAGATCTACATCTAGATTCTAGGGCGCTTTTTCGGTAGTTCCCACCCCACAATTGTTAATCGCCGGTTTTGGCCTCAAGAGTAGGGGGGTTTCAGGGGGGGCAAGAAGTAACAAAAATATGGTGGGGGTTTCAGGGGGGCATGCCCCCCTGAATTTTACCATAATTTAATGTTTTGCAGTTAGGTTTGATATCTTAGCTTGCCGCGAATCAAACGTATAGATCAAGATGTAGGCTCAAATAAGGGGGGGTGGGAACTACCGAAAAAGCACCGATTCTAGTATGGGCTGGAAAATAGGCCTACTTACTGACTTGTAGAATACAAAATGAAAATGTGTAGATCTAACAAAAGTAGAGAAAGATCAAGTAGAAATGACACAAAAATAGGCCAACTCTAACTTAACTATAAAAGTGTCTTTAAGTAAGCTACACAAAAGAAAACAGGAGGGACAGATATCCCCAAATTTTTTCTCTGACAAAAAAGTAAATTAAATGGACTAGATCTAGATCTAGATATATTCTAGATCTAGATCTCTAAGTCACATTGGTGCAGTGGAGGCCTACAGAGATGGATAAAAATATTTACTGAATTATTTGTGTGTATGTATTATATATTTTAGTGGTAACCAGTCATTTCGTCACTCTGTCATCTTGTCACACCCCAATTATGTGTGATGAAATGACTTCACTCAGAGATGGTACTTAACAAGTAGAGTTGGGGCGAGCGGACGGACGGGTTCGTTACTCGCGGACTCAGTAAGAGCGAGCGGGTAACGGACGGCCATGAGACTAATGAGAGCGAACTGCGAACCTCAAGATAGTTCGTTTTTTTGTGTCCGCTCAACAATTTGACTCTCTCAACGAGCGGACTGCGGACCTCAAGCCTCAAGTCAGTTCGTTTTTTGGGTCCGCTCCACAATTTTATTCACTGGGGGGGCGGGTAAATGGACGAACTCTAGCAGACGAGATACTTGACGCGAGGTTAGGCCCACAGTCTATTGTTTGTTAATTAGGCCTCATGTTTCAAGCCACTAGCGGTGCCACAGGGAGTGAAAGAGGCTGGTGACGTAGTACTATGTGTGTAACCTTTCACCTCGTGTGTGGGCACACTGTGTGCGTTCCAATTATCGCAAAGGCTGGGGGGGGAGGGAGGAGAAATTTCCGCCATGAACGCTGAGCTTCAATGTGAGGCAGGAGTGTGATTTTTTAATTATTTTTTTTTTGAAGGGGGAGGGGGGTTGTAAGTTGTATGCAATGGAAGGAGTCGCTCCCGTCGGTCCGTCCGTCTGCCCGCTCGAATGCATGGAGTCTCTCGGTCCGCCCGTCCGCTCGCTATCTTAGCGAACTGTTGTCTCTGTCCGATATGTAGCGAGTAGCGAACTACTCTTCACAAGCGGACGGTTTGTTACCCGTCCGCTGGTTTGCAGGTAGTGCCAGCGAGTAGTTCGTTACTCGCGGACGCTAATTTTGCGAGCCCGACCCAACCCTAATAACAAGATGGTTCACTCAGCCAAAAAAGTGTCCACGGAAGTCAGCGCAATGGCTCAGATGGTGCTGCAGTCTTTGTTTTGAAGCTCTCTTTCGTTTCTCCAGAAGGAGAATAGGAATAGCAACCCCCTTGCGTGCGCAGATCGACTGCTGTTCATCAGCTGTTCAGGTTCGTTCAGTGTGGAGTTTTAGGTTTTTTAATTTTAATGAACTCTCGCCTCTCATTCTAAAGTCAAATTGAACGAAGAAAACAGTCGCCTCCTCCTTCAAAAGAGGTTTTTTGTCAGCATAACCATTTTAAAATAAAAGCGTTCTTCCAAAATTTGAATTCTTATTTATTAAAAAACTTATTAGTTTCACTTTGATTTTTTTAACACATTACTCCCTAAGGGTCTGGACGGGAAGTCATTGTTAGATCCTAAGCAAGGGGAAGGACCCCACCTCCCGTGAATACAAGTGTTTAAAAAACACATTTAAAAAAAACTTAACAAATTCCCAAAATCCTGAAAAAATAAAAGTTAAAAAGAAAACTGAAAGTAGTTTAAGAAAAATATAACTTTTTAAGTATGCGCAAACTGTTGGAAATGTTTTAACTTTAGTTCAATCGGGATGTCCGACCGTCACTCTCACTCTCAGCCTCGCGGTCAGACCCTAGATCTAAATTCTAGATTTTCTACTTCTGATCAATCGGAATCGCCCCAAACTCTTGCTACGTTTTCATCAAAAACTGAGCCATCTGATTTGTTATATTCTTGTTTTTGCTCAAATCCATCGTTATTTCCGTTTTCGAACTCAAGCGATCGCATTTCGATCAGCTCTAATTCTAAAACTACTGGCCCGAAAAATTTAGTTTCAGTATCAAACGAAAGAAGAAACTTTTTGCAATAAACTATGCCAATCAAAATCACGGCCCCAGACGAGACTTCGTTTCTAAAGAGGCTAGGTCAGCGCGGCCGAGTCAGGGTGGAGTGCGTAAGGGAATTCCCGGGCGAGTTAGGGTGTAATGTAGTAACACAAGTAGATTAACTTTGTTTGCAAAGGGTGCATATTTCGTCCTTCTAAACACGTACTCGCGTAAGCCACATCTGACCTGAAATCGAGTTATACCAATCTCACAATTCCCTTTGTCCAATACTACATCCACTGAAAAGATTGTAGGAATCGAGCAATAAACAGCTGAGATATAGTCGATTCCAGTTTGAACGTATCCCACTTGCCCACAAAAAGATACAGCACGTACTAACACACTGTTAGTTACGCTAGTGCGTTACGAACACTTTTGACCCATTGTTATTCTTTTATTATACGGACTTGTGGCAAAAAAACATTGTGCAGTGCTTCTAGAGAGCAGGAAGACAAGCTAAACTACACATGTGAGCAGTGTGCTTTGTGTGAGACAGTGAATGGCGAAGACTCCACTTGTAGAAGTCCCTTTTTACTCGTCCTTTGTTTACAAATGGGATTCAGCTCCGAATAACCTCTCTTTTTTTAACATGTAACCCTACTGTTCAAACTCTGATTGACATTCAGAACCCTGGTGAAGTCTTAAACTCACAGACTGCAGAAAATCATGGGTGTCCTACTGCCACTGAGAACTGTGAGGGACAAATAGATACACGTATGTGCTTCAAGGACACTGATATGCTTAGTGAGGCAGACAGTGATGAAATGTCAGTGTGTGACTACGACTCAGATATCGATCCGGAATTCAGTCCTGGAATATGCGAGGTCAGAAGCTTCAATGCTGAAGTATGGGCGGCTTGTCCTGATTGTGAAATCCTTCTTTGCTTTGATCATTTCAATGAAGAGATTGCGTGTGTTCAACATGGGAAAGGCACAAGAAGGTTAAAGGGGGAAAAAAACGTGTAAAAGCTGTAGGTAGGTCCTCAAAGTATTAAGTTTCCCGCAGGTGTGAATGTGAACACTGATGCTCCCGATCAGTTTCAGACAAAGAAAACAGTCATTGATGAGGGGGGAGGAAGAATGCAAAGATCAGTTCCCGAGCAGTACACAGTGGAGGGAAGTGAGAAAGAAGTTAGAAAGGAAAAGAAACTCAGATCAAACAAACAGAAGGAAGCCAAAATGAAGAGGGATTTGGGACAAGAGTACAAGCATGAAGACAAAAAAGACTATGCCCGCCAAACACATAAAAGCAAGATGTAAAGGAGACACATGTGCAAAGCAGAAGAAATAATGCTAAAAAATTACTGACTAACAGAGGCAAGCCTTTTTTTTTACTCGTATCACCCCCTTGGAGATCTAAGAATGAAACGGGAGTTTATTGTGAGCCATGTCAAATGCTGTAAAACAAAGAGGAAATACCCTGAAGGCGAATCACGAAGAAGTAATACCAGACATTACATGCTTACAGTTCAGGAGAGTTTTGTTCCAGTCTGCAAATTGTTTTTCTTTAACACTTTGGGCATTTTAGAACAGAGCGCCAGAACGGCATTGAACAAAGTTACTTCCACTGGTATAGCTGAGAAGGACAAACGAGGCGTAGACTGTCTGAGGCAGAAAGAGAAAGAGATGCATTTGTGCGCGGCTATTTGGCGCCACAATGGAATAGTGAAAATCGCCCGAATCTTTAAACATCTCTCCTGCAAAACTAACAAAATGTGGCTTACGCTAGTACAATCGAACCTGTGTAAGACGGAATCGCAAAGGAGCCAGAAAAAAATTCCATCTTAGACAGGGAAATTTAGGGGGAGATGGAATGGGGGGGGGGGGGTTCAAAGGCCCAGCCGGAGGGATCAAGGGTCGCTTGTCTAATCGGCAAGCAGTGGTCAAAACTTCACACCTCTCAATTGCTGTCCTGTCTGATAATGACATGCGTCAGTCTTACTTATTCAATTACCACCAGTGCTTGCCTTTCATAGGACCACTGTTTGACCTATTAAAAACAGAAACGTTTGAACATCTCCTTTGCTTCCACCCTTAACCCCACCCACCGCTGTAACAAGCACTGTCAACCAGTGCCACCCATCGCTGCCACCATGTAACAACGATTCAAGGAACTTTTATGTAGGCTGGCATACGATCAGGGTGGCAGGCATTGGTCGATCTAATTTCACATCTCTGGCTACCCAAGAAAGTTTCCATAGTGGTTCGCTACTCGAGCACTCTCCCAGGCACTTGTGAGATTTCACACCCACACCACCCTGACTTTCTGCATCGCTCAGGGCTCACATGATGGGGCAACATATACCCCCAAATTGCACCCCTTCTCCCCTTCCTCGCTGGCGGAATCAAACTTGCGAGTTTTGTTTCAAATTAGGGCTGAGCGGGCAAAGCTTTTTCCGTCTTAGACAGGTGAAGCTCTCGGAAGGGAGCGGATTTTTCTTTCCGTTTCCGTGTTGAACAGGTTTCTGTTTTATACAGGTAATTAAAGAGGAATATATCAAGGGGGGAGCGGGGAGATTCCGTGAAGATAAGTTTCCGTTTTACACAGGTTTCCGTTAAGGCAGGTTCGACTGTACGTGTTTTGAGAGACAATTTGCAAAGAGGGAGCCACCGAATTTTGAGGACACTTTTTTAATTGGCTCAAAGAGAGGAGTGAACCCTCTTGTTATGTAGACTCTTTGCTTCGCTTTTATATAGATTTATATCTCTGCAAAATTGTTTATGCTAGTAGAGTTTTGAAGGATCAGCCTAAAGCTTTTTTTAAAGTTATATGAATGTAAATAAAATCTTTGTCCAAACTGTTCCATAGTTAGTTGTTTAAATTGTTTGAATAAGGCAAAAACAATGTTTGGTAAAGAGTTAAGTACAGCTTTATTTTTTTAAGTAAGGGTCTAGCTTTTAGCTTACCAATCACACCTTTCATTATGAATGGTGTAGCTGATCAGGTAGGCACAACTCGCACATCCGCCGCCCCGCCCTCCCGTCCTACCACACACAGCCCCAACCCTCCTTCAAAAATCGTGATTTGTGATTGCCACAACCATGCGCGTTTGATGTTTGCAAGTGTTCTACGAAAGGACCGTCTCCATTCAACCTTGTGAAATTGGGGTGTGACGAGATGTCTGTGACGTCTTGACTGCACCGGTGTGGCGAAATGACCGTGTGTCGAAACGACTGGTATTCATTTTAGTGGTGGTGAGATTCATCTTTTTCACTTTCTTCAAATTCTTTTGTCTTGCAGCATTTTTATGGCAGAAGGAGAAACTGTTACGCCTTACAGAAAGATGCTATCAGGAGGTCTCTCAGATTTGCAACAGTTGTCCGTTCTTCACGAAGGAGACACGTGAACTATGTAAGTTTTTGTGTTGTAAAAGTTTGTTGTTTTTTATTCTTGGAATTGTTTACCATTTTTTGTTCGATTCATATTTCTTAAACTTTTAACATGAATTGTTTCTAAACTTACCTGTCACGGCAGCCTTTATCCCTGCATTTATGTATTAAACATTTATATTATTTTCCTGTTATTTCATTTTAGAGAAGAGTCAGGTAACTTTGCCAGGAGGGGAAATTCGCCACCTGTCCCCCCCCCTACCAATTTAGAATGGGAACAATCCGACCTGCCAAGGAAGAATTTAAGTGTCAAGTTACTTGAGACTAGAAACAAATTCTGTCTATTGATCTACCAATCAGAAAAATTAATTGTTATGACAAAGAATAATCGCGGTGTTTTATGCATGGCATGCATCTTCACGCAAAGCTTCCGTTTCCTCCTCTCTTACCCTGTCTCTGTTGCACCTGCGCTATTTTCATCTTTCTGTGTCCTCTGCTTACTGCCGTTGCTGTACATGACTTTTTACTCAAATTGTGTTGAAACTGCTTTATTGATTAAAATATTATATTTGCTGCATTTTATTGTCGGCCGTATGCATTGTATCCCCTTTTACTGTTAAAAAAATGTGTTTGTACTGATCTACACCTTGTCAGGTAAATTTGCCTCTATTGTCGGGGAACTTCGCCACACAGGTCTATTGGTTTTCCATTTGTTGTTTTACTTATTAGATTTACCACTTTTATTATAGGGAAAACAAGCAAATGAATCAATAACAAGTATACTTAAACTTTATAAAGTGAATGGGAGAAAGCTGTTTAAGGTGGACAAAGCTGCTCTGGGGCAGCCTGAGAATTTGTGTTCCCAGAAAACCTCTTGCCGACCATGTTTCTGGTAGATCTACTTTTGGGATGAGGGCTGGGAGGGAGAGAAATAAAATTGTTGACAAAGTGATTGCAGTTGCAAAAAATGTAGGTTTCCCTTTAACGAAAGATCAGTTTTTATGTTTATTGAATAATCTAATGAAATAAGATGATCTCCCAGTATGGCGAATTTCTCCTCAAGGACTGGCGAAGTTCCCCGATATGGTGGCGAAGTTCCCCGTCACTACTTCCACTTGAAAAAAGAACGAAGCAGCTGAAGTACGACTAGCAAGTAAACCAATCAGAGGACTATCTGCATTTTCATCATTGGCTACGAAAAGTTGCAGACGAAAAGGGTCATGTACGTTGAGCATAAAGAGGGTGTAGGCTTGTTTTGTTGCGAGCTAACTGAGAGTGGCGAAGTTACCCGACTTTACTCTATCTATGTGCCTTTGTGTGTGAATGCTGCCTGTGTTTCTATGCTTTTTATAGGTTACTAATATGTGTGTCTTGAAAAGCACACAATGAGCATTGAAATTATGGAAATTATGCGCTTTATAAAAATGTCATGTTATTATTTCATATGGTATATTATGATCAAATTTCATGAGGGTTTGACTTCATTGGAGTCCCCATGAGTTCATGGGTGACCTCTTTGCTGTTTTCCTTCTCTCAGACTTGCCTGGGGTATGCACAGTTTTTACTTCGTCCTCGATCCGATCCCGATAATTTATTGTCATGTTTAGGCCTGTGGACTCCATAAATGGAAGCTGGTTTTAAAACTGAACAAAACTAATTAGAGAACAGCTGTAAATCAAAATAAAATAAAAGCCCTGATTGTTTTTTGTTCTATGAGAGCAACTTCTCTAAAGTAAGGAAAACCATGCTATACTAAATAATATTTGGCGGTTCCACTGACTTTGGTTTAATCAGACTCCACTGTAGATTGATCTGGACACAACTGCTACACATTTCCTGAAACAGTCTATCCTATCACAATTGCTTTCGTTCCATCAGATCATTCTATTTCTGAACAGCCCTCTTCACTTCCCTCAAGAGTTTTCTCAGTTTGTAACACACTTCATGAAGCTAGTATATTGGTTCTTTACATGTTTTTTTTTCTGGGATGTCTTTTGATGTACGGAAATAGTTTCAACTACTATTATTTCTGTAAAAAAAAAATTTTCAATTTTTTTACACCCCAATCAATAAAATTTAGATTATTTGGATACGGGTTTCAACCCTACCTGTCAGGGCCAACCCAAGGTGAGAGGGATAGAGCATCCAAGCAGAAAGACTTGAGATGCCTGATAAAAGTTCTCTTCATATATGATAATCGAACTTGGGTTCATCCGCATGGGATGACAGAACTATACCACAAACACCAGTATTTCTGTCTTATAAAAGCAAACTAGAATAAGAATGGGAAAAGACAAGAAGTAATTTTCTTGCGTTATTGTTTTATTATTATTAACACACTAAAATAAGATATACTGAAATAAACTTTCATGGTTGGGAATGATTCACAGTTCCCCCAAGAAGCTAATTTTTTCATAATCTAATTTTTTTTTTTATATAGCCTACATGTATATACATTTTATTAGTCTATGTGTTTGTACACAGTGCTATGATTATGTTCAGTTTTCTCATTGTCCTTCCTGCCTCAGATATTCTCTGATCGGATCGCTGCAGGATGTGCCCAACACGGCGTGCAGTACTCCTCTTTCATGAGGTCTCTCTACGAGGTAATGACATCTTTCTTGCTGCTGTCTCTTTTACCATCGCACTTTTTAATGTGAACGATGTTCAAGTCCTGATACAATTGAACTTATACAATGGAATCCTGTTATAACGAGAGGGAGGGGACCGGTGCCATATGTCCGTTATAGCAGGATTCTCATTATACGGGATCCAGTAATAAATTCAAGGGAAATAGTAAAGCAGGCCTAATCTATGAGTCTAGTTTTCGGTTTATTTCTTTTTGTAATCTCTCCTGAAGATATTTTGGTTCAACATGACCTTTAAGTCTTACTTGATCAGAAGTCAAATCAGGTTTCTTTCTCTAGCACTAGCAATGTTGACAGCTCGGCGTAGGCGTTCAGAAAGAAAGTTCTCTAGGCTAACTCGCCCGCTGTGTTTTCCCCCACCCCACCACACCCTGTGGTGCGTTCCGTCTGCGTGTGCACAATGGGAACATACCGCACCCCGCCCACGTCACACATTCGCTTCGTCCATCACAGTACAGCACTATGACCTCTCCATCCCCGCATCGGAGAAGTGCGAGGCATGGTAGGCCTAGATAATCTAGACCAGACTGGCCTATCACACGATACGTTCTGCTTGTCTGTGTGTGCCACACCCTCCCCACTCATTCGATCCGCCCTTCAGTGTTGGCACACGTGGGCTCTCCCATTTTTTGTTTCGAAAGATAACCAACAAGTTTCTCAACTGGCGAGGTTTTACATGAATAAATGGCCTATGCGCTGTGCACAGCAGCAGCAATATTCCGCTATAACCGACTCGCGAGTTTGTCTGCTTGCGTTATAGCGGTATTTTTTTTACAAAGATAAAGAAGGGGAAAAAACGTGGTTTTAGAAAAGTGTCTTTATAACAGACTTCTCGTTATTTTAGGACTCGTTATAAGTGGATTCCGCTGTAGTTTGGTGGGCATTGGTATCATAAGTTAAAGGCTTTTCTGAAATTGATATTGTATTTTCGGTTGTCACTCCCTCCCTCCCTCCCCCCAAACCTTTAATATTTGACTAGCTGAGGCTTTAACTCGTTCTGGCCTAGAACAGTGCATCAATCAGTTGATCACATATGGGGTTCACATATTGCCCAATATACGTTTTTAATGTTACAAAAATTTTAGACCATTCAAGAGATCCTGTTACAATATTTGCCTTCATTTAAAAAAAATTTTTTTTTTTTTTTTTTTTGGGGGGGGGTTCTCAGTAGTTTGCATTATGTACAGTCAAACCTCGTTGTACCGCCCCCTGTTGCGCCTTTACACCGCCATCCGCCTCAGTTGTACAGTCCTTAAATTAAATACTATAAATTTACCCTGTTGTACCAGCAATGAGCTGACCACCAGAAGTACACAGTACACACTAGGCTACGCACAGTGTACAGCACATCTGCTCGGTGGTTGCTTGACAATCTTTCATGCCCAAGTCTATGAGCTAGGTGTAGTTCTAGATTAAACGCTTTTCGCCTATGTGCTCCCTCCCTGCCCATCCCACCCACCTACCCCTGTCTTGTAGTTTTCAGGCAATATGGATAGCTTTACAGTGATGTAGTGTGTGGCAAGCAAACACAATACAATGTGTAATGTAGAAGAGTACAATAATGAAAATAAAACGTGATTTTGTAATTCAGCGTCAAATTTCGCTCCCCGTGTGAATCCGACTAAATTTGATGCGCTGATTATGAAAATGCTATTCTATTTAAAGCCTTGGTCAGTATAACATAAGAAAAATTTAATTAAATTTTTAAGCCTCCTGGTATCAGCCCAATAACTTACAGGCTGACGAATGCCTGTGGGGATTTTATTTAGCGAGGACTCATGCTCAAGTCTAAGAGACAGATGGAATGGAGGTAACTCATTACTTCATCTAGTGACTGGTGAACAAGTTCCCTTGACTTTGGGCAGTTGGTGCTACATGTACATGTATTTAACCGAGGACATGAAAACTTTGTTGTGCCGCCGGCCCGGCTGTACCGCAAATGTCATGCTAGTCCCGAGGTAGACGGTATAACGGGATTTGACCTATAGTTTTATCTCACAGTCTTTTATTTGACATGCAACAGTATCACAGCACTTGTAGAACTGGCTGGCAGATTTAGGATTGGCTGTCATAATATAAGGTTGTACCTCTTGGGTGCAGTCCGGTTAGAGGGTCAGGGAGTTTTAAATTAATGACATGTTCTTGTTTGACAAGAGTAAAATGATGTTTCAAGCTTTGTCCTAAAGTAAATTTTGTATTAGATCTATATATATGTGAGGCATCGTGGTGAAATCAGGCACATGTCAAAAGAATGAAATCAAAGAAGTCGGCATCTTTTTGGCCAATGGGCAATTTTGTTCTAATTTTCTTTTTTTGTCTCAACACTTTTTATGTTCATTTAAAAACACATTTCTGTGTGGATTTTATTGAAAAACATTGGTGGCATGCACAAAAAAATTTAAATTTTTAATTTCCAAGGACTCTTAGCCAATGGAATTTTCCAAACTTTGGCAGCCATTTTCTTGATAGTTTTACCTTTGAAACCTGGCAACCCTGACCTCCTTCAATCGCAAATATCTCGACTTCTATTCAACATGGATCAAAATTATTTTTCACCAAAAAGAAGGCAAATTTAACAGGCTTTAAGATGATACCAATAAACTCATATGCCCAAAAATTGACGAGAGCCTGATTCCACCATGTCGTGACACATATTTTTAATTAAAAGTCTAATAATGCAGTTATCCATATAACACAGTGAGTAAACCACTTGCTGTGGGTGGTTGGTGGGTGCTCTGATCTGGTTTGCTGGTTCTTTCCTATCAAACATCTGTCATCCTTATCTCTCCCCTTCTTTTTTATGTTTTTTATTCTGTTGTAATGCTTCTAATCTTCAGCACTTATATGACTTAATTGTGTTGCAAGTGCTATAAAATGCTTACTAAGTCTAAACTATGCCACATGCTCGTCACTCTTTTTTGTCTTTATTTCAGAATAATATCGCTATTGATAAAAAAGTTCTGTCATCATTGGCAGTTTATGAACCTCGGACATTTCAGGTAAGCTCTATTTCTACTTACTATAAAATTGGACACCCCATATTTTTTTTTTATAATACTCTACATCCCTTCTTTCCCCCTCCCCCAACAGACACTCTCAGTTATTATAATAGATTTTTACATTTTCTTTTAAGAGTATTTTCAGAGGGAAGTTGATTATCGTGATGTTTGTTCTGTGAACTAGCAGGAAAGAAAGAGCGTCAAATTATCCCTTTGTGTATTACAGTGGAACTTGGATTTAACGAGCTCGGATTCAACGAGATGAGATAGATTCCCCGTTTTTTTTCTTCTTTAAAATCAATAAAAATAACCTGGATTCAACGAGCACTTAAATCAGCGAGCTCGGATTCAACGAGGTCGCTTCCAGGGTGAACTGCCCCCGCAGATGTGGCTTCGCTCATTTTTCTCCCAGAACGAACTTTATCTATTCCCGGAAACCATCCATTGCAACTGCATCGTGAACCATTATTCACTTACCCGATTGCATGGGACCAATCAGTGGCCTTTTTTTTCATACCAACACATGCGTTGTTGGCTCACGCACATGTCTACTCTGGCGTGTGTCGGAGTCGGATGGGCGGCCTGCACACATTGACTGTGTGTGTGAGTGTCGGGGAGGTAGGGGGGCGCACTAGCGATCTGGGCGTTGAACGTCGCAGATACAAACGCGTCACTGTCTTTTTTCCCCTCGGCAACTGATCATTATTACAATGATAAACTTGTCTTGACGAAGACCTTCGTAATGAATTGTGCGCTTGTCTATGAAATCAAAAGTTGCCGTTATGTTAGGATCTACACAGCAACACAACTTTGTGGTAAACAATCGAGATGACACAGGAATGCATTTGAACGAATCGGTCTTTTTCTTTTACACAGCTCATAAAATGCGGGCATTTCAGGCACTGTTTGTGACTTCTCTATATTACTTGCTCAGTGCCTGTAATTATCTACACAAAACCTCATGTTTGCTATAGCGAACACTCGGATTCAACGAGATTTTAGGTCAGGCCCGGCGACCTCGTTGAATCCGAGTTCCACTGTACTACATAAGTGAATTGTATAGAATTGCATGATTTGTAAAAGTAGGTGGGTGGTAGAAAACAATTAATAGGTACTTATTTTTTACTTTCTCTCTTTTGTTTCTGCCTGTCTGTTTCACCTTTTCACAGCATTAAATGACCATTATAAAGAAGTGTAAGATTAGAGTATTTTGTTCATAATGTTCACCTTTGGTGGGGTGTGTTTCTAAAATGATTGACAATTGATCTAATTACTGTTATATTTTATTTGTTATTACATTCTAGTGATCGTCTCACTCACTTGTCCCCCCTCCTCACACTAAGCGATTTTTCACATGAATACAATGCACCATTTTTATGCCATACGTTTAGGTCAACTTTGTTGACATATGACAGCCTGAACATCTGTCTGCTCTACAGAGTTTGTGTGAGTTTGTCAAGAAGCAACACACTGAGAAAGTGTATGCAGGACTGGCAGCAAGTGTTGAACCTACACCAAGTGGAATTGTGACAAGAGAAATGGTTGACAAAGTGTATAAGTCATGATACTGCATTATTTTGAATGGTTTTGTATGTTTGCTTATGGAAGGTATGAGCATTGCAGAAATCAGGAGTTATAGGCTACATTTCAATCAGGATTGTGTTGGAGAAAGAATGGCCTGTGTTGTGTGACTGATTAATTAATTTTTTTTTGGGTTGTTCTCTTCGAGTGAGTACTGGTGGATAGCATTAGTATGGAATGTGAATGTTCGTATTGTTCATAATGAATGTATAATGTATGAAGTTTGTAGAAACTTTGTAGTGCAAACAGTCTTGACATTAGAGGGTTAGGGGTTGGGTTTATTGATTTTCAAATCTTTTGTGTTTTTTTGTTGTTATGGG